CAAAACCAAAGAATGGATAAAAATCAGCGTTTTCCAAGTGCAACAGTTGCTTCATTAATAGCAACGTCCTAGGCCAGAAATGGCTGCACCAGCGGCTGATGAAGCAGTTTCACGTGCATAGTTTGTAACTTCAAAGCGCTTCTAGATTTGTAAGAAGGTGCTAAAACACAAAATAAATAAATAAATAGACATGCAGTGTTTATGATTCTGCGAGGGGATAAGCCCTCTCTCTGGACTACATATACATTAGCAACACTGAACGACCCGTTTCAGACCAAAATGGCCCTACCCAGCCAGGATTAACCAAATTAGGTGGGCAAGCACAAGCTTTCTGAACCTCATGGAAATACTTGACATAAAAAGCTATGAGTATTACAAATGCTGAATAATAGAATTTTGGGGTTGGAAGGAACCTTTCAAAGGCTATCCAGTCCAAACCCCTTGCAGTGAGACGAGACGTCTTCAACTAGACTAGGTTGCGCAGAGCCCCATCCAACCTGACCTGATAAGTTTCCAGGGATGGGGCATCTACCACTCCCTGGGCAACCTGTTCCACTATTTCACCACCCTCACTGTAAAAAATGTCTCTCTTATATCTAGTCTAAATCTCCCCGCTTTTAGTTCAAAACCATTACCCCTTGCCCTGTTACAACAGGCCCTGCTAAAAACCCTGTCCCCTTCTTTCTTATAGGACCCCTTTTCACCATGGAAAGGCTCCTCAGAGCCTTCTTTTCTCCAGGCTGAGCAACCCCAACTCTCTCAGCCTGTCCTCACAGGGGGGGGTTTTCCAGCCCTCCGGTCACTTTTGTGGCCCTCCTCTGGACCCCCTCCAACAGGTCCATGTCTCTCTTGTGCTGAGAACTCCAGAGCTGCATGCAGTACTCCAGGTGAGGTCTCAGGAGAGCAGAGCAGGAGAGGGGCAGAATCACCTCCCTGGACCTGCTGGCCACGCTTCTTTGGATGCAGCCCAGGATGCAGTTGGGCCTTCTGTGCTACGAGCGCACATTGCCGGCTCACGTCCAGCTTCTCCTCCACCAGTGCCCCCAGACAGCCCAGCAGGGCTGCTCTCAACCCCTTCGTCCCCCGGCCTGTATTGATAACCAGGGGTTGCCCTGACCCAGGTGCAGGACCTCGCACTTGGTCTGGTTGAACCTCATGAGACTCACATGGACACTTCTCAAGCCTGCCCAGCTCCCTCAGGGTGACATCCCATCCCTCTGGCATGTCAACTGAACCACTCAGCTTGGTGTTACTTGCAAACTTGCAGAGGGTGCACTTGATCCCACTCTCTATGTCACTGATGAAGATATAAAACAGCACTAGTCCCCATACAGACCCTTGAGGGACAACATGTAGCAACTCTGATGTACGATCACAGTGGAGTTCCTTATCTGGCACCCAGCTGCAGGGCTGCCTTCATGCTTTGAGGAGCTGGGTGGTAAACGGTAAACAGGCATATCCACCTGCTTTCCACACATTCTTAGTAAAGTTTTATGGTCTCATCTGTTACTCTAGCTACTTAGAGACTTGCTCTCTGAGTACATCCTATTGATTTTAACCCAAACAAGAACCAATCATGATTGTGCCTCTTGGTTGCCTTCATGAGAAAAACTAAAACTGTTCCAGTCTCGAATGGCAGCGCAGAACATCATTAAAATTATTTCACCTTCCTAGCAGAACTAATGCCTGCCAACATGGTATGCTCCTCCAAAAGTCCTTCAAATGACAGCATTAGTTCAAGTTTAACTAGAGGAAACTTAGTACAGGACATGTTCTCTAGTCTTCCTGTCTTTGTAACAATAGCTTTCTCATTTCACACAGCCCCAAAATATTAGGAGCCAGAAATGCTGCCTCATGGTTGCCCAGGAACAAATTCAATGAACAGTTGTGGCCCAAACCAGGATAGATATCACACAGCTAACCACCTCACGCTGAGCAGTCACCTGCACTTTCAGCTATGGGGAGAGAAAGTTAGCTGTTTACAGTTTAAATGCAACTGGAAGCAACAACTGCTCATTTATTTACAAAAGCATCAGGCTATTTGTGAGTTCTCTGACTTCACCTTCCAATGCACAGTAATATTTGAATCAGTCTCATCCCCAGAGGTTTATGCAGCAGAGACTACCTAGTCTTCCACATGCAGCAAGGGTTTGACAGTGTCTGCCTTGTACACGCTGGTGTATTGTGCAAGGCAGCATCACCCAGTCACAAGCTCAGTTCAGGTTTCCCAGTTCAAGTGCCAACTGAATTATCAGATACGACAGCAGTAGGTAGGAAGGCACTTCTTAAAAAGGTTTTAAAAGCCCGTCTGCATGATCTTTTTGGAATCTGTGAACTGTTTGAATCCTTGACCCCTGCTGAAGATTTTATTAAGTGGTTGCACACGGAAGTTCACAGTATAGATTTTATAGCAAACACTATGGCTGCAGCATTTGCCTGGCCAGCGGGAAGCCATGCTGCACTGAGGAACTGGAGGCTCTGCACATCCAGGTGCCACCAGTTACCGGTTCCTTAGAGAGGCCCACAGGTCCACAGTACAACAGATATGGCACTAGAAGGCATTTCCTGTGAGCCTCTATACTTCAGGAAACAGCATTCGCCAAGGCAGGAACAAGAGCCTGGACTATCTCAGCTGCAGCTCACAGCTCCAGCACTGGATCAAGACTGTCAGAATAGCTGCTATGAGTTAGGTGGGACAACTGTTAGTCATCATGCACAGCCCATAAGCTCATATCTTAGAGATGGGACAGATAAAGGCTTCTAGATTGTGAATGCATTAACAAAGGCCTTTTTCTGGTGCAGAATGATCTGTGTGGCTAGACTCTAAATGCAGGCAGAGACATACTGACGGGCCCCCATGCTAGCAGAACTCTTGGTGAGATCACAACCTCTCAGCAGAAGAAAAGGGAAAGGAAAAAACCTGCCTCCCTCTCCAGAGCTATTTTTTGCTTTTCTAACTCAACGTCAAAGCAAAGTTCCAACTGCTTTTTTCCCCCCAAGGAACAAACAAAGAGAAAAGCAGCAACAATCACCTCTGGATAGACTCCTCCTTCCTTCAGGTCTTATGACAGATGTATTTTGAGGCTCCTAATCACTGGGGTAGCTGGTATAAGCATACAGGATTGTAGACCTGTAGATTTTGACTGAGATGAGAGTGCATGGGGTTGGGAAGATCACACCCCTGGCAAGCTCCAAGCAGGACAGAAGCCCCAGAATTGCAACAAGGCAACTAAAAATGGTAATGAAAACAAGAGCAGAACTGAGATCTGTTCCGTTGGGATTACTCACCAGGTGTGCATTACCCATCAACTATTACAACAGAACAAATAAGGCATGCAAATATTTTGGCCATCTCATTGGCCTCTGTGTTGTGCTTTTCTTTGTTTTGCAGAAAGCATTGGGTGAAGATTTAAGGCTCAATTATATTTAAAAAAAGAACTGCTAAATTAGTTGATTTTGTTTATATCCTGCATATTTCACATTGCATGTGCAAGAGGGAGAGAGAAGACAAAAACTCTGGGACAAGGATAAGTCATAAATTCATCCCACTAGACTGTAGTTAACCATAGCGGGTTCAATCTTATTCAGCATTTAGGGCATCTGGGCTGTTGTTCTACCACCAAATTATCTGCTTAAAGCAAATAAAAATTACATGGTAGGGTTTCATATTGTCAAGGCAGTCATTTGTACTAAGGCAGCTGCTGTTATATTTCTGTCTTCTGGTTTTGTTTTTCTGACTGCTTACCCCACTGCTTGGGATAGGAATTCACCAAAAGAGGTCTAGTCTCCAGTAATAGTTTGGTTGGCTAAGTCCCATCTCTACAGCAAAACTAACATCAACAGTATAAAAATACAGCAGTTAGAAAGAGTACTTTCCAACCAACACACAGGCAGAAAAGGAAGATGACACACTATATCCCTTTTCTAACCATCAATGCATTTAAAATATTATAAAATTAGTAATGGAAACAGAATTGAAGATCCAGGGAGAGCTTCAGAAACAAGTTGAAACAGCAGGGTAGAAAAGTAAATGAGCACTCCACTTTTAAATTTAACAGCAACTGGCAGTGCTCTTATAATTAGCATTTTCTCAACAGCAAACATTCTGAATGAAGAATGTACCGTATCTTAAACCCCTGTGCAGTACACAAAACTTGCAGCTTAAGTGAGCTGGCAAAGAAGTTGGACAGAATTCAGACTTTAAGAATTTATGTGTAGAAATACGCTTCTGTTAAAAACTGGACCAGATCTGAACTGCATAAAATATTCAGGTGCCTTTTAAAGTTATAACAGAATAAATACTCTATTATCATTGGTAACATTCCTTTCTCAATCTAGGTATACAATAACTTAATATATTTAACATTTAAGATAAACAATTTTTAGTAGGTGCTTTGGCAGTCAAATTCTTACATAGTCTCTATAGAAATGTTTAGTTATGTTTTTGGAAAAAAAAAATCTGGATACTACTTGCAAGGATTATATGCTGTACCAAACAGCAATCCAAATCATCACTGCAAACTGTAAAAGACACAGTTAATAAGAGAGTGTAAGAAGGCATGCGTATTTGCTAGCAGACATCCAACAATCATAGGAAGGAAGAAGGTACATCTGCACCATGATTTCTTTTTTTTCTTCCCAATGAAGCCAGAGAAAGATTGTCAGTTATTTGAAAAGCATTTCACTTATTCAAGTTTGCAACAACTGTGTTTGTTTCCTACACTCCACACATCAGTGTTATAAAGGCTCGTAACATATTTGTTCTCTTGGGCAATGCTTGTTCATGACAATTAAAACAGGTAAAAAAGTTTGCAATCATTTGTTTAGTCTGACTATAAAGTTACTCACTGGTACATTATGATAAGTAGACAATAGGTCTTTCCTCATTATAAAATTACTCTTGTATTTTACTTGTAACAGAAGGTGGGGTGGGACAAGGGGGGAGGTGTATATGGAGGTGGGGTTGAAGGGGTGAGAAAAGAGAAAAACACAAAAGGACCTTCTGAGTGTTCACACTGAGAACTCTCTGGTTGGGCAACACAGTGGAGCAATAAGAGTCCATAAGTACAGACAGACACAAACCCAGCAGGAAACCATCTTAATCCAGAAGATGGACCACGTTCCGGTGAAGAATTTTTCAATCTGAGCACTTTCGTAACTGTTAAGGAGGGAAAAAAAAAAAAAAAAAAGGCAACAATAAATTCACTATTCACATCTCAGACTGCAGTACCCTGTTTTACCAGGTGGGTCACAGACTTCCATTAGGTTAACCTTGATGAGAAGCACAGGAGGGCAGCCCTTTATAGAGCAAGACCTTGCAAAAAAACCACCCAGGAAAGACTTGCAATGACTGTTCCAGCTTCTTATTTAAGGAGTGGAGCTGCACTAATGGCAGAAGCTACCACTCGCATCTCCCCTCTCAAAGCAGAGACAGTAATTTTTCAGCTTTAAAGAAATGCACTTACTGGAACCAATGAGTCACTGTCATCATCACGTAGAGCGAAGCCAAGAAGAAAACGAAGTGGAAGTAGGCGTAGCTGTACACCGTGCCTTTCTTCTCGTCGTAAATCACAGCCTGGCCTCCCCTTTTTTCAGTGTGCTCTTCAGAATCGGCTGTAAGAGGGAGGAAAAGAGAAAACTTTTGCAAATTTAGTCAGAACTGAAAACAACAGCTGGCTTCAAGAAGAACACAGCAAAACATCTACGATGTGATTTGGGAAACCTGATACAGAGCAACACTTGAGCATTTCCTTGACCTAAGGGCACAGGCCTAAGCCTTTAGTAAAAGAAACTGGACTGCCACTAAAATCCTGCCTTTTACCAGTTTGCTGGCCTAGTGGCTAGTTTTTAAGCATCTGGGCCATTTAAATTGCTCTACCTGTAAGAGCAAGTCTAAACTGATCACTTTGACTGTACCAGGTCTGCACACAGGACACTCCCTTCCTAATTCACTCCTCAACTGTTTCTGAACCAAAAATCCAGCAGTCACACCCACGGGGATCCAAAGAGCTGAGATTACTCTTTGTATGCTGCAGTACTGAAATGTCGTTTAGGTAATTATTAACTAGCCTGTTGTTTTAAAATGGTATTGCTACATCTCTTGCTTCCTTCTGTAGCCTAGCTTTGAGCACTCCAGCTGCTTCTGTTTGATATGGGGCAGAACCAAGACACAAGGAGCCCTCCAAGTATAGCTGTGTCCTTACTCTCTTGGCTTTGGTCTGAAAGTCACAAATGAGGTGAATTGTGCAGTGAAAATGTAATTACCGTCTCCGTCAGGCACGCAGCAAAAGCAGCAACGCGCTACCTGGGGACAGACAAGAAAGAGGGTTAGGAGTCTGTGCTGCAGCAAAGAAGCAGAACAGCTAGTGAAGGAAAGCCTGTTAAGTCAATGTTACAGATACTAATTTAGAAAAATCTGGTTTATATTTCCAACAAGGACAAAACTCAAATTACCATTTGCCTAGTAGCTCATAACAACAGTTTCTAAGCTTTGGAAAAACCTACTCAGTAAGATTTGGAGCATATTAACCATTCTTTAAGAATTACTCTACCCATTTCATATAACTTAAGGTCAAACACTGGTGCAAATAATCATGAAAAAATGGTGGAAAAGCCACAGTAAAGTGGCTGCACATTACTAGCTCCAAGGGTATTTACCTAGTCAGACATGCATCTATGTGATTTTTATGTTAAAAAATTCTCTACTGAAACGAAAGTATGAGGAACTTTTAAAACCATGCTACTCAGGTTGGAAACTACAATTGCACAAGCATAAGTCAGAAATGTACTTATCTGTGCAAGATTTTACTGAAAGAGAGCCACAATAAGTACAAGCAGAATGACTAAAAGCAGAAAGCTGCTTCTGTTCCTTTATTTAAATTATTTTATTTTTTAACTGACAGAAAAAGGAAAACTTTTTTGACACTTTGTGTAGAGTGTTAATGTAAACAAGAAAAGCCTGCTGATCATTCAATATATATGTAAAAATTGCACTTTCTGCACCAGACCACAGTACAAGTAAGCACTTTCTGTAGTGCATCACTAGCATTATCTGTTCTGATAAAGTCCTACTCTGGGATTTATTTTCATTCTGATCTGATGAAGACAATGAACCCTGTTAGGAAAATTCTCTTCCCTAACTATGGTATCAGTCAGCCTCTACAGTATGCAAGTGTATGAACTTTGTTAACATATATTAGTTCACAGTACACACTATAACGTAATGAGGCAGCAGAGTTTTACTGGAGACTTTGGTATTGTTCATGCTTAAGTAAAATAAACTGAAGGACAGCTTTTAAGGTAAAGCATCCACCAGAAAAATCAAATGTCAGCTTTTACCTTGTGTATCCATGATTGCATGTGCTCACTGGGTTCATAAATTCATGAAAAGCCAAAAAGCTCATTCTTTTTTAAGAGACTGGTTGAGCATTTAAATAAAACCCTTACTCCGTATCTTTTTCTACTGCTGAGCCAAGCCCTGTCTGCAGTGCCAGCCTGAGCTCCCTCCGGGCTGCACTCACGTTCTGAAGCAAGTTCTGGGATCCTCAAACTTTTTAATCAGTTGCAATTAAGTCCTTGCCCACCAATGAGCAGCGCTGGCACAGACACCGGCAGCCGCTGGTGACTCTCAGAATTTGGGATGATAGTCAGTTGCTATGAGAACAAAGGCAACCAGGACTGAAAACACACACGAACACCTCCACTACTTTTTCTGATAGCTTCCCAGCAGACTTCTCCTTTAAATGAGAGGACATGAGCTTCTGTGGAGCACAACATTTACAGGAAGTCTGTAAGTTGTTTAATAAACTCCAAGAGCAACAAATTATTTCAGTACATAAAGGCACCTCCAAGGAACCAGCAAGAACAGCAGAAGGGCCAATGTCGACCACTGTTCTGATAAGTCCATACCCAGAGGCACATGGCACAGTATGCTAGAAAAAAAAAGCCTTTTTTTTCATCTAATCACAGATTACTTAGCTGTGAAAACAAACAAGAAAAGCACATGAGGAAATCTGCACAGATATCCTGTAGCAGGGAGCAGAAACTCACTTCAGTTTCAGGTGTTGCATATATTCCCCTCAGCGCTTCTGAGCTTGCACGTGTTGTTGAGGTCAAACTAGGAGCAAAAGAAGACAGTGTCAGAACCCTCACCATAAGTACTATCCCAGCAAGGTGATTTTTCAACACCACAGCAAACACAAAATGGTCTGCTCCCATGCCTAAGCTAGGCATGTGCCCAGATGTAGCATCAAACGCTAAGCATGTGAGAACTTTGCTTTGCACAAGTAGGTATCAGCCTGATGGCCAGCCACTGGCCAACGCAGGCTAATTCACAAGCTTGAAAGTAGGTCACTCCTGAAAAGTGATGAACTCATCACCATCAGACAGCTGCAAACACCTTAAGCACTCCAATTTGAATTTCTGAAGGGATCTCTGCAGTGCAAAACCAATACTTGCACATTAACTTCACAGCCACCACTGTGGCTCAGTTTTTCTGTAAAGGCTTTGCCAGCCATGCAGCATGTCCCTGGTCACAGTCAGTTTTCAGAAGTAAATGACCAGCCACTACTGTCAGTGTACCAGTGCTCAGAATCCTTTCTAGTTTCTTCTGATTAGAAAAGTTTATTGCCCAGTCTCCCCCTTTCAGAATGCATAACACGACCTTCTTATTACCCACAGGGAGACTGATGTTAATGCTCTGCTGTTCACAATGAGCCTTAGTAAGCAACACTTCAAAACATTCCCTTCAAAGGGCTTTTTATCTCCCCAGCTACCTGGTCCCCTTTCCCTGCAGGCTATGTGAAGGTTGTCTGCATTCCTGAAACACCTTCCTGAGGCACTGGAAACACTGTTCTAATGTGAACTAGATCCATGATGCATGAGATACATATATTTGGTATCAGAATAAACGGAACACACATACTTGGTAGCAGAAGAATAGCTATGCTACCTCTTCTGAAAGTCTCTTGTTTTCTCTTCAAAATTATGAGGGAGTTTCAACATATGAGTTTTGAAGGGGACCAGTTCAGAAGCAGAACCTGCTCAAAACCCTGCAGCACACAGGCAGTGCTGTCTCATGGCAACCCACACAGCCAAAACAAGAGATACACCACCTTTCAATGATCAGCAACTTCCCTCTTCCCCACCCTGAAGCATGATGTGTGAGCTGCAATAACACAAGGTCGGCATCACAACTATATGGGTACAAACCTTTTTTTTTACAGCAGGAGATCACAGGCAAATCCTGATGGCAGTACTGCACTCATCATTTGTTCAAAGGCAGCCCTAAATCCTCCCAAAACAGTTTTTCTTGTTTTAAAGACCATCAAGGAACAGTTGTAGCCTCTGCCAAGAGGCTACAGAAATTTCAGATATTTTTTTAAATGGACATAACTGCATAGTTTTTCTTACAGAAAGAATAAATAGCGTAAAAGCACCCTGAGTCTGCTTTGGATCATGAGCAGCTGGCAATTTTTTCCTTCCACCTCTAGGTGTAAATTGCTCTATTTGCCTTTAATGAAATATATTTGTTTCAAAAATTATATTATCCTGTTGAACCTAAAACACCTAACCATTCTGAAACTGGAAGAGAATATGAACTTTCCAGCTCAGTTGTATCCTACTACTGCCCATTACTTTGTCTGCATGAGGCCCACTGTAAGCCTTCACTAGTTGGACCACCACACTGGATTTACAGGGAGGTAACTTCAAACCCCCAGACTTACCAGGAATATAAAATGCAGCCAAACAAAATGGTAGTACCTAAGCCAGTAACCAGGTTTTCATCTCTGTGCAGGCCTTGACTGAATTCAGGTACACAGATTGTGATGTTCCGATTGTTTTCATCCAGGACTTCACAAAACAAAACAAACAAAAGAGCAGTTAGCAGGGCTCATTTCACTGCCTTTCAAAGTCATCTTCAGAATGAAAGTTTTCAGTGAAATATTTTTACTACTTCAGACAGTAGGCAGGTATATTTCAATTGTGTCTCTATCTTCTCAAAAGATCATCCAGAAAATCCAGAAAAAAAGTCTGTAAATCTGACCTGGCAGATTCTGCCTTTTAGGCAAAACAAAAATGCAGCTTAGTATGGTACTAAAAGGACTCGTTTAATCAAAGCAAACAAACAAGGAAAAAGACTGTTGGGTGAACTGAGAAATTAAAAGTTGGAAGTTTGCCAACACTTCACCCAAGACTACTGAGTTATGTAAAACCAGGAGGTACAGACATGAGATGATAAATTTCTTTGACAGCCAGGGTGCCTTGAGGACAACTATGAAATTCATACTCAGTACAAAAAGGTGGTACATAGTTGCTCTGTTCTGAAACCAATATATAGAAGACCAAAAACCAGGAGATGTGCCCATTACGTCCAAGATTTTATCTTAATATCTAAGCAAATACTACTTGTAGGTCCCTGAAATAAAACCATTTCAGTCCTTTATGTTCCGAGACACATCTAGCTTTTGGAGTCTGTCTGGAGGCAAGGCAAGGCAAGGCAGAGTAGCAGCCTCCAGTATCACATCAAAGCAGATTACAGCTGCACCTTATCTCAAATCAACAGCTTTTTGAGCCAATGCTGTTTTAAGCAAACTGTTCCCATCTTTTTCCTTCCAGCTGCTTCACACTGCATCCCCATTGGGACAGCACAACTGTTTGTAGGGGCAGAGGACAAAATGAAGCGAAGGCTACACCCAGGTTAAAAATAAACTCAAAATCAGTGCCCTGAGCTGGTGTGGTAGGACTATGCATGGCCCTGCAGGGCTGCACAGCTTTACTAGCACACAGCAGGGACAGCGGGTTGCTGGGAGCAATAGACGGGATGACAAGCCCTTATGGAACACCTTAAGATGTGCAGAATCCAATCCCTCACCT